GTCTGCACATAACAATTCATATCTTCAAAGATTCTGTAAAACTCTACGTGTACTACCAGTACCATTACAAGTCCACTCTTCTTCCTGTCAGAAGGCGAGGTAGAGGCATATTTTATAGACTAATACAAGGGTTGGTAATGGTTTTGGGCAGAATGCCAAAAACACCCGCAACTTCAATTTATAAGATACTGCCAGGTGTGAACAGCAGGAGAGCCACGAGTGGCCCAATCTCTGTTGTGGCTGTGTAGCCTTGGCCCTTTCCTTGCCATCCAGAGGCATGAGTGACAAGCAAAACATATTCAAGTGCCACACTCTGGCACCTATGCCAGAGGTTGCCTACCGCTGGACTAATTGAATCAAAGATGCATAAGGTTTCATGAGCCACAGTTCACTTTAACCTTAACCTTTCATAGCATCTGGTGAAGTGAGCTGTGGCTCACAAAAGTCTACAACTAGCCAGTCAGTCTGATATTGCTAGCTATGTCTATCTTTTCCAAAAGGTTTTATGGAGGCATTTTGAGCAGTGCTCAAATACACTTTTTTATTTGCCATTATTTCAATCAGGTCCAGTTCAAGTTGAATGAAAATGAGCTATAAAAACAGTGCAGAAGAGGTGCGGGGGCTGTAAGGTGCTTAAGAGAACTCAACTTACTATGAATAGTATTACACTTAATGATTAAGGACACTAAACTGGATAACATTTATCAGAATATATGATGCTTCAAGAAGAGGTCTTAAGAAGTACACTGTTTCTGGTAATGCAGACATCTTTTACCGCAGAAAAAGGCTGCGCCACACAGTTCAGAAAACAGCAGGCAAATGTCACATCGTTCTTATTATTAAATATATTAATGTGAAATGGGAATTACTGACCTAACAGTAATTCCACTAAGCAAGATCTGGGACAGATGAAAAAGGTCAGAGCCGGCAATGCATCACAGGTGACTCAAAATGAAACAAAATAAAACAAGAAAAACATGACTGAGGTAATTACACCAAGCATGAATGTGGTGCATTTTGAATAAAATAGGTGAGGTATAATTACAATACTTCAGTTGGTATTTTGTTCAATACATTTGAAAAATGAGGCATGTTGGAGAGCATTTAGCAGAGGTTGATTAAACAAAAAATTCTGAAAATAGGACTTGTGCAGACATGTTATGAGAGCTTGTCCTTAGACAATCTGAGCAAAGACACCTCTGAGAAAGTATTTAGAAACTCATGGGGAGATACACTGAGACATTAAAGGACACATAACTTATTCAAGCTTGCCAAAAAGGACTGAAAAAGACATAACGGTCATTATTTTGAACTTACAGTTGAAAGCCTGCAGGCAAATGGTTGGATTTGTGCAAAGCCCCATTAAAATCAGTGGCATAGCTACCTGTCCATGTACTAGCAATTACAGAACTGGGGCCGAAAACAACACAAAATAATAAAGAAAGCATACTAATTGTAAACATATTTGAACTAGAGACAATAGAGTTTGGAATCTGCAATTGGTAATATTTAGACCCAATATAAGCTACCATCTAGAAGGGATTATAAATAGTATAGACTTTTTAATTAATTCTAATTAAAGGTTAGTGCAAGAAGCCCCCTTCAGTCCAAATAATTCTATAAATTTATTGTAAACTGTTCCTGTTTAAAAAAATTATGAAGGTGTATCAAACATATCTCTGATTGTAAGGTATAGCTATCCCTCAATAAATACTAGTAGATAGTAGTTAAACAACAAATCTTGGGATGCTCTTCTATAACTGAGATGCAAGACAAGTGTCTGAATAGATTATAAATGAACACAAACTTTCTCAGACTTGTAACCCCCCCCTTCAATCAGGACACTTAAACATCCCATGGGTAAATACAGATCAGTAATATCTAAACGTACAAGAATATAAAAGTAGAGTCAGAGAGTAAGCAGGAGTTCTTCAGAAAGCACCGGAGTTCTGTCATTCAGTAGAGAGACATAAGAAATATACTTGTGAGATTTAAATAGTTGCAACATTTGTGCTGTGAGAGGCTGAGGGAAAAAGACTGTCGTGTTCAATTTATAAGGAATTATAATAATGGCAGGGGATCCTGGAGGTCAGCCTGCCAGCCTGGGGCTGCTCCAACCCAGCTCCATGTGCTGTGGAGGGGCTGACTGGGGAATGAGGGTGTTCCAGTGGGGCTAGCTGGCAGGTAGCCATCACCCTCATGCCCCAGCCAGCCCTATCAGCATCTATGTGTGCATAGCTGCTCGCTAAAGAACTTCACTGCAGGATAGTACTTGTATTTACCAGTACTAACTGCAGTGGAGTTGATTAGTTTTCTGCAGGCTAACAGTGGTGCATGTGTAGACATTGAGACTTTACTGCAGAGCTAATTAGGCAGCTCTACAGTAAATGTCTCATGTAGATGCACCCACTGAGTAGACACACGAGCAAAGCAATAATTGTTCTATTTGCTGCTCTTCAGTTGAATAAAATATAGATGGACTTCCTACATTATTTATTAGGGCAGTATGTGCTGTGTGTTAGCAATTGCAAATTATTTAATTGGAAATAAGGATGCCTAGCATCTTGCTGGTACTTGAACAGGGCACATTCAAAGCACTCTCACTGTGATTTCAAGCTTTGTTCAGAAAAAAATTCTCCTTTCCCTATTTGTAAAGTAAATTATGCTTTTTGAAATACTTCGAATTCTCCTTTTTCTTAATGCACTGCTGGTCATTTAACATCAGTAAACATGGACAGACTTTTGTGATTAGACAGGATATAATTAATGTGCTAATTCATTGCTTCCGAGTCTCATCTCAAAGATTCTTAGGCATTTAGATCTCATCTATTCTGTCCCTTTCTTGCCTATAGTAGAACAATAAGGAGAACCTTGGGATTCAATGAAACCAGCTGATATCTTTTAAAAAATCATTATCTTAATATATATCAGGTGCTAAGTGGTGCTAATACTTTTTAAATGTGTTTTGAAATATTGCTCATTTATTGGAGTAAAGAAAGTATAACTGAAAAGCATTTGATACCCCACTTCTTTCATTCTAATCAGTGTAATTATAGATTAATTATATAGATACTGTACCTTTAATCAACATGACTACAACACTTCTCTGGTATAGGATGTAAATTACTAGTGATTCCTTTTGCAATGGTCTGGAACTAAGGTGCACAAGTGATAAAATCAGAGAGATGGAATGGACCTCAAGTGCCATCTAGTCCAACCCCCGCCTCCCTTCACACACAAATTCAGGATGCTCTAGTCCTACGTTATCGCTATCCCAGAAAAATGCCTATCCAGTCTGTCCTCGGAAAAAATAGCCACCTTCAAAGGAGCACCTGAACAGAACCAGGGACCAGTTGAACTTCAGTCATATGCTCTACTACTGGGCTGCATCACCATTGTAAGTGGATTTGTTTTTGGCCAATTAAAGCTTTGGCATATACATTTGACAACAATGTTCAGGATAAAGTAATCTTTCATTACAGTCACCTATCCTCATCAAATATATGTTGCAAATAGAAGTATGTAAAATTCTATAAAACAGACTAAATTTCATAGTTTTACAAACTTCTGTGATTGAAATGATATAATTTATAAGCAGCAAAGCACATGCTGAAATGTTGCACTGGTGACAGTCAATAATCAAGTGGGAATGCCATTCAGTACTTCTCAGGCTCAGAGAGAAGTGACAGTTTTCACCTGACCTGGCCCCAGAAAACACTCTACAGCTGTGGCATGTAGTGCAGTGTGCCCCAGCCAGCTCCGCAGCTGGCTGGGGAGCAGTGTGCCTCAGTGCAGGGGATCCACGTGCAGTGGAGCCCCCATGCCGAGGCACACAAAGACAGGGGAGCAGTCAACTTAAGGCTTCCTGTTGCCCTGTCTCAAGACACGCTGTGCCCCAGCCAGGCAGGGAGCGGCTGGCTGGGGTGCAGGGTGCCTCAGCGCAGGGGCTCCACAGTGTGTGGAGATGGAGGAGTAGACAACCCTGGGCTCCACATGTCACTCCCTGGCTGGCTGGGGCACATGATGCCTCAGCACAGGGGATGCTTAGCCCCTACTGAGGCTGGCTGTACCTCAGCCAACCCCTCTCTTCTCCCCCCGCAGCACATGGAGCAGTGGGACAATGTGCCCTGCTGCAAAGCACAGGGGCAGGGGTGTGCACTCGGGCACTACTATTTGTGCTGCTGTAAAGGCACGGACCTGCTCATGTGGACCCAGCCAGTTGGGTGTGGGGGATCATTGCAACGCTAGCACTTCCTGCAAAGCGCTATGAGTTACAGTGGGTAGCTGCTCTTCTGTCTGTGTCTATTTTCACCTAAGTAGTGGAAGCAGGTTGCATATTTTATGAAATTTGAGGGAATGCTATAAACTTAAATCTACAGGTTGTCTTTACAGTTATCACTTGAAATTATTTGGCCACATGAATGATAATTTAATAATTCCCAGTTGTCCTGGTTTAGGTAATGTTTCATCAGTGTTTATTAGGTTCTTTCCTCATCTTAGGAAGGAGCTCTCTTGGCAAGAATCCTAGGCTGCAGGATTATCACTGGAACAGTCTCTGACTGACACTTTTCAGAATTGTTCCTGATCTCTTCACAGAGAACACTATTAACCTCTTATCTCTTCTTATGGATTTCTGGATGGTATTCTCAAAAAACAGCCACAAGTAACATTTTTTCCTTTATACTAAAGCGCTATTCTTAAGGTATAAAATCCTTAGATCATACAAATCTTTGCTTTTGACAGTCACAGAAGAATTAAAACATCAGAACTAGTTAAAATAATTCTTTTGCAGTTTAGAATGTCACTGGCTGCAGAACCATAAGCATTCAATGGATATCTTCCTATTATATTTGAAGACTCCAAAATTTAAGGAAATCATGTCATGTAACTTTTAATATATTCAGATCTGAATATTAAAAAATAACACCACGAAAAATAGATAGCTAGAAACATGATTTCAGTTTCATGTAATTTTTTTGTTTCCTTTTTCTTTCCTTTAGTGAAAAAACTGAACCAGATGACCTTTGAAGGATTTTTACGATACATGTGCTCAATAGACTGTGCAATATTTAAACAGGAACACAAAACTGTTTACCAAGATATGAGCTACCCATTATGTGATTATTTTATTTCATCTTCTCATAACACCTACTTGATATCTGATCAGCTAATAGGGCCAAGTCACCTTTGGGGCTATTCAAGGTATTTATAAACTTTTAAAATATGAAGCTAATTATTTTGTAGAGTGGCTTCTGTTATAATTTATTAAGTCTTTTGAAAAAAGTATTAGTAATAAAGGGTAAAAGGGTCAATCCTGTTAAAAAATACCCTGGAATAATGTTCTCTGAAAAAACTAGAGTGGGATTTTATTTTGTAGGTGTGGATTTTGATGTACACATTTACTCAATTTACTAACATACCACACACACCTTCCCCCCCCAGCACCTCAGCCCTCCAAAACTGAGATCTGTGTTTTAAGTAAGGAAGCTGATGTTTATGAAGGAATAGAGGGAGGGTGATGCTGCAATGGCTTCTGGGAGCTCTGCTCCCTTCCTCACAAATAGGAGGGGCAGAGTCCCACTGTCATGTGAAGGTGAGTGGCAAGGTTGAATTTTGAGCTCTGCTTCTGCAGCCAGAAGGTGAGTGATGCTACTGATGGGACTCTGCCTCTTCTGCCTGCTGCTGGGAGCATTCAGCCATGGTAAGCCCATGCTATGCAGGTAAGATTCTGGAAATATCTGTATTTTTTCATTCTGCCTTCCCAGAATAAGATGCGTGTCTTGAAGTGGGTGTGAAGTATGTGAGAAAATATGGTATTTGCTACCCTGTGTGTTTTGTTTGCTGGAAACTATCCAAACTCAAGTTTTCACTTACCTCATATATAATTATTTGCTGCAAGATGTATTGTATATGTATATACAAAAGGGAACAGAGTGTCATCAGGAGGAAGAGAAATAAAGTAATTAAGGGTATCCCTTAAATGGCTAAGATGCCTACAAATTAGGTGCTGCAATGCCTGAGTTTTAGAGTGGAATCCAGAAGAGTTAAGACCTGAGTTTTCTCTTTGGTGCATGGAAAGAGTTAGGTACCCAGAATAAACAGTCAGCAAGTTAAGCAGGAGCTCCCTGGAGCTCACCAACAGAAAACACTAGATATATGGTGGGCATGTCTACACATGCATTTACGCTGGCTTAAATTTGCTGTGTAGTAAATTACAGCGCAGTAATTGGGAATAGCACCTACATGTGCAGGTGTTGAAGAGCATTAACGTTGTGTGTGGACTGACTCGGGACTAAAGTTAGTCCCGAGTCAGTCCACACAGACAGTGTTACTGCACAGTAACTAATCGGGCGTAAATTTGATACCTGCAGGTTGCAGGTATCAAATTTATGCTCAAGTTGGCATAAGTTGCCATATTTACTGCACAGTATGGGTGTGCATGCGTAGACACATGCCCATACTGCACAGTAATTTCGGTTACTGAGCAGTAAATGTGCACATGTAGATGCACTCTGCATCTGAAATCTTGTCCCTATTCAGAATATAGGGCCCTGAATCAAGGCTGCAAGGAGGTGCCTCTGTCCACTGGGGATCCGCAGGCCTGAACCCACTCCTGAAGGCAGGCATTGAACAAGTGTTCTTTAATTTAAATTAACAGGGCTCCTTCTTTTTAACATCTGATCATGAAAAGAGGAAGTGATACCCAACTTTTATGTAAGAGAAGAGTGTTTTAGTGTACTTTCCCAGAAACTGGGAGACCGGTTCCCCGTCTCAGACTGAGAGGGTTCAAACCAGAATCACCCATTTCCCAGCACCATGCCCTACCCATGGTTAGCACTTCCTGCTCTTCCTGTTGGAGGATGGCCATAGTACAGAAAGAAATGCATGGGTTCAGGAGGACAGCAAGAAAGAAAGACTAACCTTATAGCCTAGTACAGTGTTTCCCAAACTTTTTTTGCCACAATCTGCAGCTGGGTGTGGAGTGTGGTGGCAGCCTGGGGGCGAGGGAGCCCCCAACATGTGGCGCTGCTTGCCCTTTGTGTGTGGCGCTGCTGGCATTGCCCCCATAACACTCATTTGGGTCACAACTGAAGGTTAGGAACAGCTGGCCTAGCAGGCACTCAGCAGAGAAGGAGGTCCTGGGTTACAGTTCCTATTTTAGAACTATTTTTATATTTATGGTAAATAATTACTGGATAAAAACAGAACTAATCTTGAGGAAAGTAATCTTAGCTGAGTGCCTAATCACTATACTGTACCACCAGGCTGGTTCTTGCTTGCTCTCCTTCCATTCTCTTGGAACTGCAAGTGCTGAGGGAACTGTCAGGTCAAGAACTGAGTTTAGGTAGTAGCTAAATGGGGTGTTTTGGATTTAGGTGGTTTTGAGACATGCAAGTCCTTTTTGTTGGGGCTGACCCCTTACTGTATGAATATATAGAGACTGTGTAGGAGAGAGTAGGATGTGTTATAGCTTGGGAATGTGGAAAAGAGAAGAGGGAAGGGGAATATAGAAGGGGTCAGAAGGCAATCTGGAAGATAGTAATCCAAATTTCCAGTTGCTTTGAATTGTTGTGATGAAAAAAAGCAGTTTGTTCTGGCTGCTTCAGCATGGGGTACAGAACATACAGCTGAACCTATTTCTAAAAGCTAATTTAGAAAACGAGGCAGTTATTATGTAGCTTTAGAGGACTAGAACTATTACTGGATAGCATTCTCTTCCAAGTTTCTCACTTAATTGGTTGTGTATACTGCTTTTTTTTTTTTTTAATTTAAATGAATCATCTTTTTTAAAATTATCCTTTTTTAAAGTGATCCTTTTTGAATTATCCCCAAGTCAAAGGTTATAAATGCAGGGAACTCTGTGTTAAACTTGAAAAAATCCAAATGTATTAAACATAAAAGTGCAGTTTGGCACTCAAACCATCTTCACTTTTCTGCCAAAATTAGTAATGCACAGTGAAAAAATGTTTTAGGGTTTATTAAAATATATAGAAAAAAATAATAAAACTCAAATATTTCTATGTTTATTTAGAGGTCATTTTTGAGAGACTGACTTAAAACTGTATCCATTTTTTTTTTTAACCTGTGAAGGGTGCACATTTAAAGAATATATTTTCCTAAGAAAAATACATCTTTCATATCTATGCCATTCTGAAGTAATTTTAGGTTCCTTTGTGGCAATTTAAGTAATTTTGTAAATACTTTACTGATAATGTTAGTCATCAGAAGTATAACAGTATAGCTGTGAATGTAGTATATTCCTCTTTCTTGGCTGTAAGATTTTTTTTTCTTTGTTTCCAAAGTGCTCTATTGAAAGGATGTCGTTGTTTGGAAATTGACTGCTGGGATGGACCACAAAATGACCCTATTGTGTATCATGGCCACACTCTAACAAGCAAAATTACATTTGCATCTGTCATCCAGGTGGTAGAGAAATATGCATTTGTGGTATGTATGTATGTGTGTGTGTGTATATATATATTTGTTGGAATGTGACAACAACTTTTACAATACCTGTTAATACATTTGTGGATTATGGTATTTGAGGAAGGGAACCCACCCCCCTGCAGCCAATAATTGCTTGAAGTTACAAGTGTTGTAGAAACAAATTAGAAGAAATGTGGAGTACCTGTTATTAAAGCATTTTAACTGAAAGACAATTTCATTTTGATGATAATTAACATACATTAAATTCTCTGGACTGTATCCAGAAGACCTTACTTGGCTTATTCAGGTGAATTATTATTTCAAGTCAATAACATATTGGCTGGTTCAAAGAGAATATACACTGAATAAGAACTTTAAGATCAGCTCAGTATTTTGTTCTCCTATTTTGTGCAGTTTTTGTGTTTGAGCTTGCAATGTGAAGTGAATGAAATTATTAGACTGGAGTTGAATCTGAGCCATGATATATTTTGCATTTCTTCTTCAATCTGACCATCTTTCCTACATCTTAAATCCAAGAACTGAAAACAGTTACCACTATCCCTTATCACTTTGTCAGGTGACTCATTAAAATGATGTCTCTTCTGCCTATCTCTGGCAGAACAAGTGGAAATTAAAGATCTTTTGGCACTGATTCAATCCTCTACATTGCTGCCTGGCAAAACTCCAACTCAATTCAAGTCAGATGTCCTGAAAAGCCGTTTATGATAACCCTGAGAGAGAGGCCAATTTGGATTATATTTTTTCCCATATATATTCCTATTACTTTTTCAAAGCTAATTGGGCAAGCCTGTTTTATTACTGTTCTAACAACTGTAAAGAATTTAATGAGTCTCTGACTTAAAAAAAATGTTTTGTAAGTGCAGTGATGTTTTTCCCTGTTGCGCAGAATACATGTTTGACTTACATAAGCATTTCATTTTTGTCTATGTACAGAGCATCACAAGTTAGTGCAGAGAAGATCTTACTTAATAGGAACAAGTTCAGTGCATTCAGCTATGCACATGATTTCTATGACCTGAGTGGAGATTTCCACTTTGACGCTGAATATCAGTTTCAGGGTTATGGACAGATGTAACATTTGAAGAGCTCTATATAACTTGGACACACTTCAAAGGCAAAGTGGACAGATATACATGCCTCTTGAAGCATTCTAAAAGTGGCAGAAGCACTCCAAAAATAATGCTAAAGAAAACAAGTACTAGTTAGAAATGCTTCAAAATGAAGTGTTTCTTGTTGCATGTTCATGCTTTATAGAGAAAGACAGGGCAGGGCTTGTTCTAGGGACATCCCACAGTGCTCCCTACTCCATTCAGCAGGAGCCGAGGTGAATGGGACGTATCCTCTTACACGCTTTCTTCTGGAAAGCCTCTCGCTGCCAAGTTGAGAATGGAGCTGCAGGATGCAACAGTCCCCATGTCACACCTTCTGGCTGGAAAGCACACCATTGCATGATGGACCTGTGTGGTTTTTGAACTGCTTCAGCCAGGGGGTTGGCAGTAGGGATACATGGTTATTTGCAGTGCTTTAAATGTTACCTCTGCCTCTACCCTCAGTAGGTTTATTTTTTCAGTCTGCACCTCTTGTGGTTAAGCTTGGCAAGGAGTGCTGAAGAAGACATATATTGTATAGTGGGACTGAAATGTCTGCCTGTAATCAGACTACCAGAAGGCAATGCTCTCTAACATTATTTTAAGGAGACTGTCAACATGAAATCTAGTGAGGTCAAAAAGCAAAGTTTATGTACCACATCTGCTCTGGGGTCCTTTTGTTAGTCATTGTGGTTTTACAAGCATGTTTTCCTGTTTTGCTAAGAGATTTTTTTTCCTATCATTTTCTTTTGTAAGACATCTGTGCAATCAGAGTGGGAAACTGACTATGAACAAATTACATCCAACACAGATAAATAAATATTTTTGAGCTCTTGATTCGATAATAGAAACCTTAGCCGTTACATTTAACATTTGGTTAATTTTTAATCTAGAATGTAATTTTTAAAACTTAAACATCCTTTTCAAGAAATCCCACTCAGTAAAGTAGCTGTGATTTAAAAGATGTGAAGCATAAAATCAAAATACCAATGATAGGAACAAATCAAGGCTAATTCAAGGATACAGGCACCAGGAAATAGAAATTGATGACGTTTTGCTTGTATGGCTTCTCTCATTTCTCATTATTTTTTTTTTTATCAAAACAGGTGTATTATTTCTAAGGAATGCATGTATTCCTCTTCTCTAGTTACTTTATGCAATAATTCCCTACTGGGATCCCCTAATGATTCCTAGCATAATTTGCTATGATGATACTATAAGTCACAAAGAAAAAACTTATTAATCAGGTAGTGACATCTAACTCTGAAGAAATGAAGACCTTTTCCCTACCAATATTTTGAAGCTGAAGTAAAAGAAATATAGAACATATACAATGAAATAGCTTTGCTTCTATTAAATGTCAATGATTTGGGGTAACAGATTTTAAAGCTTGTGCTGAATTTAACCTATAGTTTTCCTGCCTGAAAGAGAAAGTGTGTGTGGATATACATGTAACTATATTTTATGGTTCATACGCTTGCCAATTTTCTTTCCTTGATTTTCACATCCATTGTTAACTATGTATGTGATACCTCTTTGGCAAATGTGTTTTTTATTTCTGCTATTAAGTATTGGGCATACAGCCTTCAGCATTCACTTTCCCTCTACCCCCAAAAAAGTGTACATGTTAAAAGGCATAAGCTGGATTTTTAAAAATGGGTTGCAGAAATGGCGACCAGGACTGCCAGGGTGGCTGCACCCCTCTCCCAGCCTTGCCCCAGTCACAGGGGTAGGCAGATTATGCTGTGGGGAAAGCAGCTGGGTCTTTTTTTTTTTTT